GAATCACCAAAATTTTAATTACATTGAGATGGGGGGGGGAGGGTGGTGAGGGAGTTTTGTCGCCACGTTGAGCCTATTCCACAGCCCACCTGAGCAGCAGTAGTGGGTTTTATCGCCAGCATCAGCAACATTGACGTAAATGGCAAAATTAACATTGCTGCGGCAGCGTTAGCTGTAGCATATACAAAAAATCCACACTGACAATTGCTTATGAGTTCTCGCATCACATTATTTGGCGCTAATGCACTCTCGTCTCACCTAGCGGCCACACACGGATGAACGGCCGCACCTACGTGCGTGTGTATAGGAGAAAAATCAATAATTGCGCGCGTGTGTTGTATTAGTAATGCTGCGCTGGCAATTTTCTGCTCGAATTAACTGGGCCAAGAGTTGAAGGAGCATCCCAATAATTGAAGGTGAAAGGGAATTTTGAGAACGATTTGTTCACTTAAGCAAATAGTAAAGAAGAACTACAAAAGGTCTTTTGAGTTACTATTAAAATAAAATCGTGAAAATGATTTGCTAAAGTTATTGATATTAGATACATTACATGAAAATCGTATTAACCACTTTCGTCTGCTGGTATCTGGGTCACCTCAAAAGTAAGGCGTATTCAAACGCTCATCGTAGTATCAAAAATTAGATTTCACTTAAAACGAACTCTATTGAGCACCACTTTCTCGGGCTTTCGAAGGTCAGAAAAACAATTTAAATTGGAAAGTCCAACTACTGTGGCGAGAAATTGTTGAGTGATCCATGAGACAAATCTGGAAGCTTGAAGTAGTGAACAGTCAATTACCTATCATCCCTAACCGAAACTTACTTGAAGTTGAGGTTTTTAATGCACTGAATGCACGAATATATGTAAAATTGTCTTTCCTTAGCATGTGACGTAATGCTTAATACGATGGACAACAATATAAATGAACCAACTGGATAAAGGCCTTGGATATCACAGGAAATTATTTAACCATAAATAAAAAATTTAAAAATTTGTAACGATGTGCAACCCGAAATTAGAAAATTGGATGAAGTAGGGTGCTTTGGGTACTTACTTGATGGTATTCTAAACAAAATTATACTTTATTTCCGTCTGCCCCACCCCCCGCCCTCCCACTTACCTCACTGTTCCTTATGCTCAGATGCTCTAAAGATTGTCGTCCGCGAGTGACGACAATAACATTTGTACAAAATATTAATAAATGGACAAAAAATGTCTATTGAAAGATTAACAAAATAATAATATTAGCAACTTCTAATCCACTTTGAAGAAGAGATAATTGAACAATTTGAAGATGAAGGTAGTTTGATGAAACTTCCTTTTATTTGTTAATTACATGTTCACTTCTTTTTTTCAAACAGATTATCTAATGAAAGACTATATAACTAGATCATTTTTCAGTAGAATTCTATCGCATTAGCATAATTTCGAATAAAAAATATACAGCACTGAATATATATAGTACTTTGTTTTAAATTTGAAAATTAATTTAATTAAAACAAAAAAATAACGAAAAAAGTAATGAAATGGTTTACATTTACATCTAAGGTCATATTGAAATCATATAGAGTCTATTTAACATGGAGTATTATAAAGGCCCTTTTGCAATTATTAAATATTCAAAATAAATAGTTAAAATTTTTATAATTTCTCTCCAAAACTTTCCTTATGGACAACAAGTCTTCGAGATATTATAATTTATACCTCCAGAAAGCTTATCTTTGTCAAAATGTAAGCCGTTCACTTTCAAAAGAGTAATTTTTAATTGAAATTGTAAACGAATTGGTATGGTAAAAGTGTACTTTGTACTTCTGAAATAAAAAAATAAAATTTAAAGAAAAATCGGTATTCGAATGGGACAGTGTATTTTGATTCCCTCTCATTAATCTCTCGAAAAATCTTGATGAACTATTTCATTGTTTATCTTCTTCAAATGCTTTCCCATGACTACGCCCTATGACCTATTGACTTAACGGCAGAAAGTACTAAACAAAAAATTGAAATAAATGCAGCAGTGGCGATATGGTCCATGTACAATCGGATTAGGTTAAGTCTGATCAATAATAGGGAAGGCAATTAGTGTGTTCCTCATAACAGCGGCTCTGGGACCTCCTGTCACAAGTCAACACCTCCCCTAGTGGACTTGACATGGTAAATGGAGAAAATCTAACGACAACTTGATATAATAACTTCACAAATCAACAAAATCTGCGACAACTTATCAGCTTGGAGTTGTTCTACCAAATTTCGAACTTTCAATTTTTCCGCCTAAAAGCCAATTGTGCCGTTTAGTGCTATTTTTATTTCTACCGCCTTCCTATATTTAGGGAAAGTGACTATTTACCTTTTCGTTTTCATATTCATTTAGAAGGAAACTTAATTATTTGGTAAAATAAATTCTCACTAATAGTGGTAAATTCATAATTAATTCATTGATCTAGATTAATAATAACAATAATGAAAGCAAAAGTGTGAGTTTGTGCCGGATGTCTGCACAAATAAACCTCTACTTAATCACACCATTCTCTATACCCAAAATCGCCTCGTTTGAAATTGTTCCAGAAGTTGATTAAACTGTCCCAACAATACCGGGGAAACAGAACGCATGATGCAGAATGGATCAATTAGAGTTGACAGGATTATGTGTCATGTTTCAGCCCAAAACAGGCACAGAGCTTAGTCATTAAAGTGTGTCTTGGGTACAATGACCCTGTGATGATTGATTGAGAGGTCTCTGCACTCCAGACCTTATTTGCTCCTTAAAGCAATCAGCAACATGCTCGAGAATGCTTGGGTGAACGTGGTGGGATCATGTACCCCGCATGTGAAGCGAACAACTTTTAGAGCAACCAGGTTAGACCGAAATTATATAGAATCAAAATTGCGGTTTGCTCAAATAGGCAACTAAAATATCGATCTCAGCTAATGCAATATAATATAGTTTTCAATAAATTATATTATGAATCAACAGTTTTACCAAAATAATAATAATAAAAGAGCAAAATATTGGAGCTTTAAACCAGCTTTTGGCTTCACTACTCGGGCTTTTAAGTTGATCAAGTGCTTCAACGTTTTATTCCACAATCAAGGGGATTTCCAACTGGACAACAAAAACGTGGCAGCCGAAAGCGATTCTTCTCCCTTAAGAACCAACAACTACTTCAATTTAAAAGTTACTGTCACACCGAACACCCTCACAGGCCTCAAGGAATGACAGAGGCAAACCCGCTTCGTGGCTACTTACAGCCATGAAATAATTCTTTCTCATTTCATCAGTAAATTTCGAATTAAAAATGATATACACTTTATCCTTAAGTTTCCCGTTTTTTAAACCTCCGTTGTTTAGATTTGATGCAAAATCGATACATAAGTTATTTTCATTAAAATCAATACTTATTCAAAATTAGAGTAATAAAACAACGACATTCAATCTTTCGCAATAGAGCTTTAGGAAAATACGTTTTAATACTTCAAACAAAGCAACCCAACATGACCCATGCCAGAAGTCGGATCATCTTTAAGACATATCAAGGTCAACACCCTTAGTAAATGTCAAATTTTTTTGGCTGTCGAGTTACAAACCGGAATATCGATAACTGTTTCTTCGTTCATAAGCAGTAATAATAAACTCTAAATGGGCAATATCACCTCTCATTATAAGGAGTGGCAAGGAAAAGACTCTTAAAAAGTCATTGAACGACGAATGATTTAAACAATTTTAAATTGTTCAAATTTCCAACACTGGAAATAATTATTTTCGATATTCCTCGCGTATTAATTTTAAATAAAACAAATTTGCCTTAATTGCTCTTCATAATGACAAAATGAAAAATAAAACTTCGCTCCAGTGAATTTTGTTAAAATATTAACAAATTTTCGGTTTACTAATTATTTTCCAATATTATTATATTAGATTTAATTAAAAACTATTTCTCCGTTTCACCCACAATTTTTCCCCAACCGAGGATGGTGATTTTTTATCGAAATGTTATAATTTACAGGTTGGTGGGCATTCACGAAGGGCCATCAATTTATCGGTGCATTAGAAATCAAAAGCTTTCTAGAGATTGCAATAACTTTACCCATAATCCACACATTAATACTTCACTCGTAGCTGCTCAATAAAGGTTAGATTGAAAAATAATTTCATTCTTCAGTTTGGGGATGTTTGATAAGCGTTGAAAAATGATTCATAAAATTTGGTGACTTATCATAAAAAGTTTTCCTTTAATTGTTTTTTTTATAATAGAAATAGCCATATGATGAACTTTAAGGGAGCCTTTTTAATAAAGGACACCATTAAATTAAGCCAAAAAATTCGTCTGTTTTCATGGATTTACCTTCCAACGCATAATTTCTCAAAATATGATGATGATGATTCAGCCTTGAATACTAGATTAGAATCTCAAGGGAATCGGGAACTAGCCTGCCTACCTATCAACCTACCACTCATATTTCCGGTGTCTTCCAATCTTGAATAGCAAATCGTGAGCATGACAGAGGAGTGGACATTAGAGAATAGGGAAAAATCCTAAAGATGGAGTCAATTAAAGTAGGATGCATAAATCCCTTTTCAAGTTGTTTCAATCACCATTAACCTTTTAACGCCCTGCATGGCCGTACGGTCCTCTTTCATCGGTACTAGACTTGCAACAAAAAATATTTTATAATACAATAATAATTGGGGGTTTAATGACTGAAATCACATTGAATTAGTTCTAGAAAGTATCATGAACTAAAATCATGTCTACAAAAAATTATAGTCGAGTTTTGGCAAGTCAAGCGAAGAAATCAATAAATTATCGATGTCAAAGGGTCGTATGAATGGCTAATTAAATATGAATAATTCCCTGGCGCATTTTGGAGTGATAATATTAGGCATCAGTTAGTAATTAAGTGATTAGAAAAGGTGTTGAGATGCTCTAAATACGCAGTCTAATAAGCCCAAGGAATATAATAAAGCTGATTAAAACAACTTACAATTAATTGAAGTGTATGCTTAAGCCAGAAGTAAAGGGCTAAAACGCCCAGAAAAGAGAGAAGCCCAATGCCGTTGGTAACTGACAGGAGGAACAGAGACCCAGCGTAAAAGAGAGTCGATGACTTTTCTTGTGGTGAGCGCTAATCGGTGTTTTAGCTGTGCTCTCACTGTGTAGGAAACTCTCTGGTTGGTTGACGCGTTCCTATTCCCCTCAGGTGAGCATAATACGCGCTCATACTCCTGGTGCGAAGTAGCACCGCCAAGGCAGAGAGATGGAAGTTCTGATAACAATTCACTCCTCCCCCCCCCCTCCCTTTCAATGAACACACCTGCTAGGGTGCAGAAGGAGCAGAAATCGCCCCGCATGCCTGAATGCACTCCCTCTCCCTACCTCAAAACTGCAGTGCAGTGCAGAGAATGCATTGCCCATAGAATGCTTTGCCCAGATCGCCTCCCGCCTGCACACACGCACGCAGTTACGCGCGAGTCCATAGATGAGCCAATAGGATGTTTGTAGATTTTGGAAATTTTGCTGTTAATAATAAATGTGTTTACCTGAGACTGGTAGGTAGGTAGGTGGATTAGCTGATTGAATAGGAATTGCCAGAAGCAGAAAATTGTATTTCGCTAATGGAAAAGTGGAGCTTTGCCTTCGAAGAAGTCACTTATAGGAAGTAAGGAATTCTAACTCAAAAAAATTATTATACGACTTCCTAATACGCAAAAGCGCTTCCTATAATTAAACGATTCGGAGAGGGTGGTAAACCATCCTTTTGTTTGTTTACCATTAGAACAACAAGATGCAATGGAAAATGTGCTGAATATGTGCCTTTATTTAAAACATGAAAAGTGCCCACAATTACAATTTATGATTGAACGCACTTTAAGAAAGCGAAAATAACTGAAGCACTATATATTTTGAAATACGTTTAACAACACCAATTAGCAATTTTTCGAAAGCCGAGTTCTCCTATCTCCTCACATATTAATCTCTCTGAAGTGACTAACAGATAGATGATAATTCATTCCATGGATTTGCTATTTGGTCAATTTCAATGTGACTGCTAAATTTAAGGTGATATTCGGGCTCCAGATCCATGTCACATGGTAAATGCCTCCTGGCATGGATTAATCAGAGTATAACCGACAATTATGCTCCAGTCGAGTGATTTCGTTCGTCGGCTCGGAGGACAGAGGAAGGTGTAATCAAGTCAAAACTTGCCAAATGTGGATTATCGGAGTCTTTCCGCACTGTTCTCAAACTCTCTAATGCATCAAAATATGTGCTTGCAACATTTGATTTGGGAAGATGGAAGGTGTCGTAGGAGGCTACTTCGGCAGAATGGCGGTACACACCCAGTATACCACCTCTCGTGCTAATTAAAGTTAACCGGACAGCTAGTCACTCAGATCACGTGACCTCTAACTTCAAAACAGGTAGGTTGACAAATGTGCCCAAGACTCTTCATTTACATTTAAACACCTTTTCATTGTTGTCCTTGGAATCTTTTATTCCGAGTCACTTTACTCTGTACTGATAAAGACAAAAAAAATCGCTAAAATTGCAATAAAATTAATTCTTTACTAGGTTGAAAATAACGCCGAAGGCGCTTTTAAAATTGTACACAGCCTGATTGAACTAAAAAGTTATTTGCAAACTGAATATGGGGCTTTTGAGTCTAAACTATTTATGCTTAATTATCATATTGAGTGAGTGTACCTTTTCAGTCCCATGATATAAAAAATCACTTCTCTTCGCTAAAATTCAAACACTCAAATAAGCTTTCATTTATAAACCTATGCTCAGTTGGTCTAATATGTGTCAGCCTCGATGTCGGTTGGAGAGAAATTGCTTAATTAATAATTATTTTATTTATATCAAGTGGCAGGCGTTTTGATAGTTATCATTTGGCTTTTAGTTGACTTCAGGCTTCACAGAGGTGAGGAGGAACATCAAAATGAAAAAAAGTCGAGATTGGGGGTGGGGACAGAAGAGTGTTTCTAAGATGTAAAAGAGACAGACACAAAGGTAGATAAAAGGTGAGGTGAATGCTGTGGAAGTAGTCGAATATGACATGCAGTGGGGTGATGGTAGTTTGAAGTGAGAAGTCAAATGCCAGTTAATAGAATTTTTTGCCGTATGAGTATACGCTGCCAATGGTGCACCGCGTAGAGGTAAGTCTATCGCACTCCCCGTTGGTATAATATGTGTCAGTCTCAA